TCTGAAATAATCTGGTTTTCTTCAGGCCCAGAAGAAATAACAGCTTGTTTTGTTTAGCTTGGTGTGCTGTGTGAACTCAGCCACTGTTTCACAGGAACCTAGTCAATTACAGCATATTCAGTAAGCGCTAATTAAATAACTCACAGCTTAGCACAATGCATTAACCCAACAAATATCTGTGGCAAGCGTTTCCTGGTTGTGTTAGTGATTGCTGTATTCCCTCAGCTGCTATGTATTTTAATTTTTGTAATTGTGATTGTAATTGTTTTAACTTTTATTTTGAATATTGTTCACTACCCAGAGTCGCTTGCTGAGATGGGTGGCTATATAAATTGACTAAATAAATAATTAAAGATGCTTTAGTATGGAAAGTCTATTGTCCATTTTAGCAGCTGGTTTTTTCTCACTATGGCTCTCCAGGAAAGTTAGCTGTAGACCACAGAACTATACCATCCCCAAAAACTGTTAAAAAGCTATTTATACATAGAGCTACTCTATCTCAAGTCTTGGGTGGAGTTCTTTGCCACTCTAATGATCATATATCCTTTTAGAAGGAAGGACTGAATCTGGGATGCTGAACATATGTTCTGTCCTTGAGCTATGGAGTCTGAGCTACGACTATCTCAAAGTGTTTGAGAGGAAAACATATTTCAAGCAGCAGTAAATTTACAGCATACTGGTGTACATCTGAGAAACTGAAATCCACATAGTCTTATGTTTTATATTCTTTTTTCAAAAATCATAAAGAAAAGAACATAACTTTTCAGATTTGATACCTGGCAGTTCATTCAATTAACAGCTGGTAATGTCATCATTAAAAAGCATTTTGGGGGTTCACTGTAGCCATAATGTTGGTGCTGCTGAACATGTGTTTTGCTATGGGAAGAATAATGTATTGGCAGTATTGCTTGCTGAAAATGGAATCAATATGTCCAATTATTCTAATCCAGATTGTAGTTTCTTTAAAAGCTTTACTGAAACCAGATCTCAGTCTCATCTACAGAACAGGAATAATTTTAAAGGAAATGAAGCTCATCTTTTTTCAATGATGGTATCACATGGAGGAAATGCAAGTTTTAGGGTACTATTTTTTTCAAGATTTCTTGTTGGTTACAACTAAAGTCTGAAGGATTCTGTATCCAAATAACTCTCACTGCATGATAAAAAGGAAGAGAAGAATCATGGTTCAAACTTGATCAAAAGTTTCAAAATGTCCCAGTACTGTATGTATTTAAAACAAGATCACTGTTTATACATATATTTTGTTATTTACTTATTTATTAAATCAGTTTATATACAGTAGCTGCCCAATCAGATATGATTATGGGTGGGGTAGAAATAAAAAACAAAACATGAAAACATAACAACATTAAAGTTAAAATCCTTGAAAAACAGAAATAAAACACAGGAAACTACACACAGTCCAAATCAACCAAAAGTAAGATGGGTATGACACCTCCCAACCCAGTGCTGAGGGAAAACCCTAGTTCTAAGAGTTTTCTGAAACATAGGCAGTATCAGAGTCGCTTAGATCTTGTGGGGGGGGGGGAATGTTCCTCCACAGGACAGGTGCAATGACTGAGGAGGCACATCTTCTGGATTCTCCCAAGTGATACTCTTTCAGAGATAGGACTCAGAACTTGCCCACTCTGTCAGATCTTATTGGATAGGCAGGGACAATCAGAAACAGACAATCCTGCAAAAAACTGGATCCTACACTATGAGGGGCTTTATAGGTCACAATCAGCACCTTTTATCAACTTGGAAGCATGCTAATTGCCAGTGCAGCTTGCAGAGTAATAGTGTTACATGGATGCCCCAAGATGCCTCGTAACTACTCACGCTACCACATTCTAGACAAGTCGAAGCTTCTAAGAGATTTCAAGGGCAGCCCATATAGAGCACTTTGCAATAATCCAGATGAGAGGTGATTAAGGCAGGGGTGTGAGTAGGGTGTCCTGGTCCAGGAATAAATTAAATTGATGTACAAGATGGAGCTGTGCAGTAATTCTACAAGCCATAGCTGTCAGCTGCTGTTCAATCAAGAGCTATGAGTCCAGGAGGACCCCTAAATTACCCACTAGGTCTGTCTGGAGTAGTACAGGTCCATTCAGAACCAAGGATGAAAATTCCTTGGATCAAGGTGGACCCCAAACATTTGGTTCTGCTAGGGTTGAGCTTGAGTTTGATTTCCCCCAACCATACACCTACAGCCTCCAAATATCAAACAGCATGGGTTGGACAGCCAGGGGTTTAGAAGTATAGCATTCTGATGATACCTAATCCCGTGCCAATGAATAACCTCATCTAAACAGGAATAAAGAGAGAATCAAACCCTGAGGCACCCCACAAAGTAGAGGCTGAGGGATAGATCTCTCCCCCTATCAACACTGATTGAAACCAACCCCAGAAGAAGGAAAATCCTGTAACAATGTGCCTCCTACCCCCGTCTCCATGAGATGGTTCAGAAGGATACCATGACTGATGGTACTGAAGTCTGCAGAAAGATCAAAGAGGTTGAATACACTACCCTCCTCTTGGTACTGCTATAGGTCATCTACATGCACAACCAATGCCATTTTGGTACTGTGCATAGGCTTGAAACCTGATTAAAAGAGGTCCAGATAATCTGCTTACTCCAGAGCCCTCTGAACCTGCAGGACAACCAACTTGTCAAAGACTTTCCCCAAAAGAGAAGGTTGGAGACAGGAACTGGAAATTATCCATCACTGAGAGGTCCAGTGATGGCTTCTTATGGAGGAGGTGAGTTGACATCACCATAAGCCTCCTTAAGCTTCTGTTGCCCCTGGCCTTTCTCCTTGGCCAAAACTTGGGGCAAAACCAGCCCCTCACATGTATACAAAGTACCTTTGCAAAGCCTTGCCCGTACCACCACACACATATCATGATAACCTTTAAAAGTCCACACTTAAATCCTCTTTCTTCTTATATGCATATGCAGGGTTATCTCACCTGAGTTAAAATATTCATATTTTTTCTGGTTATTGGCTTTGGATACCATACATTACATGCAGAAATCAAAAACAGCAGCCACCTGCTTTCTGAAGTGTTCTCACCAGGCAAAGAGGATATTACTTGCATTTTTTGAATGTTTCAAATCAATCTGGAAGTTGGAATACAAGAATGAGCACACCACCCACATGCAGAGAAAGTAGAAAAGAGCTGATAGGACTTTAAAATGTCACATGAAAATGTGACAGGACAAGCATTACCAGAAATCTTGACGTCAGAAGAGGAAATATCCCATCAGGGAGGGGGAAGAGCCTTGCACTTTCTTTTAGCTTGAGGCACAAACATGTGCTCAGAACATAAGAATCACTTAATAGATTGAAAGTAGGAGGAAGCTGGCATTTAGCAAGAACAGTGTGTTAACAAAGGATGCACAACAATATAAAGCAGAGGAAGAATTATTTAAGAAGTGCCAGTTTTGAGCAGTTTTTACAGAGCTACAAAGATATCATTATTGAGGAAGAAATCCCACTGCCAATTGTGCAAGGTTCACATATAGGCAAGAATGGTATTGTGCTTTTATGTGCACTTTGGATCACTCTTCTGAAAAAGGTTTTTCCATTGAGAGCAAAACAGACTGAAATCACTACATGCCTAATGGCATTCACCTAAAGTAAGTGAATAGATATAACCAAAAGGTTCAAATATTTGCATTCAACTAGGGCACTTGCATCTTTCCAAATTGTTCCCTTGGGAGTGGAGGCTTCAGGGAATGTGACATTTTTAAAGATGACATCACCGCTGAAAGCCTGGCATCCTTTGACAGGAATATCTGAGCTGCTACCCACTACTGAAAATGCCAGAAGTCAGAGATTCAGGCCTTTTCACAAAGAATGTAACAACTCAAATGCAGCGAACGAAAAATTAGTAGCTTAATGCTGCTCATCTGGAAAATTGACAAAATTTGAAAAAGGGCACAATGCATCTTAGTAGCCCTGCTATCAGTATATTGATCTAGAGTTCAATATACTGAAAAACTACTAGTTTCAGTCTGGTCTACAGTGTATTAAAGTGAATAAGGTTTTTTTCCATTATCTGAATGGTGAAAGTGAATGAAGATTTCAGTGCAAATTTGCATCTTAAATGGGGGCTGCTTTAATCTGTGTCAGTGACTGAGAATAAAAGACAGATGACTGATTATTACCAGTTTCTACATGGAAATTTATAGCCAGGTACCCTGCTTCTAATAGGGTTTAAAAGAAGCTATGGATTCTGCTAAGCGCTTAATGCTAATAATTGTCCAGTATATTTCTCTAACTTTGATTTCATGGGAATGAAACCCGTTAAGTTTGAATGTGGGGATATATGATCTCAACTACAGACATGGTATGAATGTGTAATTAATGGCCATATTATAATACCTCATATGCTACATTTGTGAGCAGGATGAAGATGTTTAATATAGTGAAGTCAAGCACCCAATTCAAAATTTTAGAAAAGTAATGAATTAACCAACCAGACTTTGACACCACTATTTTTACACTGTAAATCCTTCTACATACAAAAGCACTGAGATAGGAATTACTAAAGCAAATTTCTTAGAAAAGTATTTAATAATGTTCTAGGGCAAAAGGGATAGAGAAATATTATTACAGTACCTCTTTCAGTTCCACAGTGACCACAGTATTGCAAAAGGAAAAGGCAGATCAATAACACTGCTTTCCACTGATAGTAATGGATTCCACTAGTATTCTTCCTAACCTATAATCAGGAGTCACTTTTTCCAACTTATAAATGTTATCATAAAGCATACAGCTCAGCTCATCAGATGCATAGCCTTTTAATAAAATGTGTTAGTGGGAAACGATTCTACCAGACTCCTGACTTTTTTGCCACAACAGACTAACAAGAATCTCCTCCCACAATTTCTGCCCTATAGAACAACTGATATGTGTTCATTTACAGTTGCACTAAACAGAAATCAGGTGAGAATAGAAAATAAGAGCAAGAAGAATAGCAAAATCCTTTACCTCCAAGAATGCGGTTCAAAACCAGCACACTTTTCTCTGCATTTCAAACAAGGTGCACCTCTTCCTGATGGTTGATGGGTAATTGAGACCTAAAGAGAAAAATATATATATATATATATTAAAAAATCTATACCTTACTTGTTTATACCAGGCTTGTACACAGTATTAAAAACACAGTGGAAAGAGCAGCATAACTGGTCCACTGAAGAGTAAGTTTAACCCAACATAGTTAACCAGAGGTGGACAAACTGTTGCCACTGGGCCAGACATGACCCTTAGCCTAATTTCAAAATTCTCTGTAAACGATGAATTCAAGACTCTTATATAGACTATATTTTCCTTCCATGAAACCTGCTGCTTGGGAAGGAAGGTGGGTACATCTGGACAACAACATTTCTTAACCATGGTGGACAGCTTGTCTATACTTAAGCATGATGTGTGAACCCATAGCAGATTCCATTTTTGGTGAACATGAACCATGATCTGACAACCTGATGATTTGTACTTTCAAAATTCCAGTTGCTTTATGTAAAGAGGAGGAAGACTTTAGGGTTGTTCAATTTACATTAATTTGTATTTGAAACCCAAAATCAACAAGTTCCACATGCAAAAGTCATTTAATTCTATGCATTTAGACTTAAAGTACAGAATGCCTTTGAGCACAGTTCAGCTAAGGAATGTTGTATTAGTATCTGAACAAATTCCCTATCTTTTCAAAGAATACAAGAACTTACTCTTGAATACACCAAAATGTATCTTTTTCTGAAATCTAATTTGGATGGAACAATTCTTCTACAGCTGCTGTTTTGAAACTACTGATCAGAATTTCTTGCAATTCATGGAAAATACCCAGAGATCTACCTCAAGAATCTTAATCTACCTATTGCTCCTTCCCTTGATTTTTCCCACAAGTTATATCTGGAAAGAGCAAAAACATGAGATATGTTGTAGCTTAGTATCCCATACATTTTATAAAACTGGACATGGAGACAAGCAGATGGAGAATACTACGTTATTAAATTAAATGTAATGGAATGTTCTCATTTTCAATGTTTGAAACACATGACTGAGAATCCAAAGACCAAGCCATGGTTCACATGAGATTGTGTTACAAAAGTAGCAATATCTAGCCTTGGAAACTAGGTATAACAGATTCACAGTACAGATAGTCCTCAACTTATGACCACAATTGGGACTGGAATTTCACTAAGCGATGCGGTTGTAAAGAGAGATATCATGTGACTGCATCCCTTATCAACCGTGATCCTGGCAGTTCCGGTTGCCATTGTTAACTGAGAATTTTGGATTGTTAAGCAAATACCCACCCCAATCCAATCCATTCTGGGCTTGGTCCTTTTCAGCCCCAAGCCTCATTAAGGTGAGGGACTGCCTCCAACTCCACCCCTGCCTATCTCCCCCCCATCTTTGCCCTTCTGGCTGCCCTGCACCCTGCCTTGCAGGGTAGCAGGCAGCCCGCAGAACCATGCAGCTCTGGGGCAGCTTGTCACATCTCGGGAAGTCGCAGCCACCCCAGCCACAGTCGCCCTCGCCACTCTGCACTCTGCCACCCCAGCTGACCTTCACCATCTTCTTGCTCCAAAAAGCCCCTTCGGAAAAAAACCCTGGAGCACGGTGCGCCAAAACACCCCTTTGCAAAAAGCTCCTGGGCAGGGCTGGGCTTTTGCTTCATGCTGTGGAAAGGGGGGGGGGGGGAAGCCAAAAGCA